CAAAAAAATGAGCAGCTCCCGCAACGGCCAACACTCGTGAAGACGTAGCAAAGACCAGTGAAGTCAATAAAACACACAGCGTAACAGATAGATAGCAACACAACAGCTATAGAAGCCTGAAATAAAGAATTTGATTATTGAGATAAAGGATGAAATGCTAAAAAAATAAACTCTAGAACAAAGCGGATCCTTCAAAAACCTTGAACCTAAAAGCCTAAATGTGAATATTTACTCATATGCCATTGCATGTAATTAAGAATGCAGCTAAGCATGATGAACGAAATTACAAGTGGGCGGGGTATCTCCGCCCTTTTGGCAAATTCAGTCCACTCGGCAAAAAATGCTGGATTTTGCTTGAATTTCAATTCGCGCAAATGGGCAATTTTGGAAAGTGGACGGAGCTTGCCACCGACGGGCGAAGCGTACCTAATAGGGGAGGAATCGAGGTTGGAGTCGCTTGAGGTTGCAGTTATCTATAGCTTCTTCTATGCGATTGTAAAGCAGAAAAAGTTTTTCGTAGGAAGCAACTGAGTGATCGGAACTTGCCAAAATAGAGGCGGGGCCGCCATGGTATACCCTTCAGTTTGAAGCGATTATATAACACAAATTAGAACGAATGCATACCTTAGATTGGAATTTGTGGTGCCGCGCACCATTGCGCGGCGTCGTCCAAAGGGACTGCCCTGACAGACTGCCTACTGCGCACATTGCACGGCGCTGTCGTCAACATGATGATAACTTCTGGGAGATTTGCAAGTTCTTTGGCATTCTGTAATTCTAGAAGAGGTGAATGCTACGGCATCCCCTTGAAAAAATTTTAGAAGACTAATTCAAACTTCTAGAAAATTCCAAAAATGATTTGAATTATTTACAAGTGTGAAAGTGAGTTGCACATTTTTATGACTCAAATAATAATAAGAAAAGCAGCCTATTCTCCGGGGAAAGTAGGCTTCCCCCCACCCTCGGCTTGTCACTGCTTCAGCCCTGTTATTCTTCCTCTATGCAATTGTATATGGGTCAAGTCAATTTCTCTTCTAAAAGTCAGGAAATTAATGTTGTTTCTTATGCTTGCTATGGCACCGCAATCAGGCGAACCCCAAGAACGCATGAGATGTACTGGTCAAGAGAGCAAAGCAAGGTCTACAATCTGTATTGATTTTTTTGCGCCAAGATGTTCTACGTGAAGTTAAAGTCAAAATCTAAAAAGTTCTAAACACCCAAAAAATCGAAAAAATTTGGATCTTCGTGCAAAAACTTTCTACATCTCCCCACGCACACATCTATACTACCGACATCATACATTCATATATACAGTCGCTCTGCTTTCTTCTTGAACTAGAAACAGAGAAATTTGAAATTTCGTGTTTTGCTCGAATCAGCGCTGGCGTCCTAACATAATTAATTTTATACTGCATGCTTTGTAAGTATAACAGTAAATTTTTAGCCTGTTTCGAGAATTAGTCTAGAGAAATTTCGCATTTAGCACAAAAACTCAGGGGAGGGGAGCCTAAATTTTGATGTTTCTTTAATTTGGTATTAATATCATATAGTTCACTTCTCTCTTCAATCTTCCCGCGACCGGCCGACCGCTAGCTAGCTCTGACCATCCAACAACCAAGGATAGAAGAAAGTAAGCAACCGGTGGAAGACACCGTTGCTAGTCCACCGCGTGATCCTTACATGGAAGTCAAAAAAAGTCCAGCGAAGCCAACCGAACTCGCTATCTCTCAGGCACATACTGACAAGGAGAAATGATGAACCATTGTCAGTGGAACGACCCAAGGTGTAATTTCACTATAATGCCTTATGAAGATCATCACGGTGTTTAATAATTGAACCGTCAAGAATGAATAAATGGTAAATAGTAAATAAAGTATCTAGTGAACCATACTCTGTACTGTATGCCTTTTTATACACTCACAGAATCCTTCAGTTTAAAAACTCTCATATATGGTGCATAACCAGGGCCCGGCACGGATCGTCTGGAAGCAGGGTGGACTTCGTTTTTAGAGCAAAAAGCACGGAGATATCGTTTTTGACGAATCGGTGCCGAATTTCAAGAATAAACGCCATTTAGTTGAACACAAGCTTTTCGGACAGGTTATCACACGATTGACACCCTCTATCGTGTATGGCGGAATGTGCGCGCGATTTGAAGGCAAGGCTGAAATAAACAAATTGCTTGTTTACAGCGCACACAGAATCATATGACACCAAAATTGAACTATATGCATAGAAAATTATTTGACAAGGACGGCTTCCCCGGTCAAAAATCTACCCCTGAGCATAAAGACATTTTCATATCATTGCCTTTCCTTTGTTTTTTGCCTTAATTTCTTCATGAATCGCTTTGTTATATATCGCGCTCTAATGAAAAACTCTTGTGCATGCGTAGTGTTCAATTCCAATCTGGATTTTCACATTTATTTCACGTTTTTTGTTTCAGATTAGTAAACCTCTCTCGTCTTCATCTTCTCCTAAGTAGGTAGGTCAAAGGGGACTTCGTATAGAATTTTTGAAAGTCAGAGAAGACTTCGTTTTCAGAAATCCCAGAAACCGACTCGTGCCGGGCCCTGTGCATCACCCAGAACTGTTCCCATATGTCATCATGACTGCCTTTCGATCATTTTCACATGTCAACTTCGAATAAGCGCCTCGAATTTGCTGCAGTTATCGCGTTAAAAGGATCGAAAGGCAGGTTCTGAAGAATGCACGATAAATCAAATGTGCTACTTTATTCTGAACATTCCAGTCCCGGAGAGGGTCTAGATCTCAAAACTCCGTCTAAGGAAAGGGACGAAACGGAGATAAACAAATATAAAATTGTTTTTTCTTTATATTGCTCACAGGTTTGGAGTCCTTCTCCAGTGTGAGGAAACTGGGAAAGTAAAGACTCTAACAACTTAACTGCTTCGCAGTGGCCTACTACTCTACTACTTATAAAAACTTTTTTATCCCTTATCCTCTCGTTTCGCTATTCTCTACATTTCATTACATTTATTTGTGCGCATTTATTGTGCGTGTACATAAATATAAACGCTGCTGCACGCCCCCCGAAGAAGCCAAGATTTAAAGGATCAATGGCTAGTAATTCCATTTTATTGTAACTGAAATGTCTCCTCATCCGTTCAATGGCAATAATTCTGAGCGACTTGTTTGGATTTGAAATATTGGCGATGCAACCACTGATAGCATGCGCCATAGTGACATGGAGGTGATGGACGACCGCCATTCTCGCTGGGAGCCTCCCGCAGCGAGGTGTCAGAATCTACGCCATTAACATAGGAGGCAAGACAAGACTTATATTCTGAATTTGCCCACAATTTACAATTATAAGGGACTAAGCAGTTAGGTTGGACTAGTGTGAAAAGGAAACTTTTAAGCCACAAAAAACTCGGGCACGTTTTTCTAGCTTGCCGGAGAGGATGCGCTACCAGCGTTAGCGAACCATGATTGATGGACGAATACGCCTTGACAGCCGCCTTTCCCTCTCGCACACATAAATCCATGCCACCGCAGCACCCAATCAACTTCAAAATTTATGCTTTTCATTTAACTTCTCTCGTTTCCTTTTTTTCTGGACAAATGTTGCCATGAAGCTCATCATGCATTTCGCAACGGCGTCCATCTCGCCTGCTAATCAGAGTTTCAAAGGGACCAGACCAGCTTCTCACTTTACTTGAAGATGCTGTAAGTTGCAAAAAAAAGCTGGAAGTTCGAGCAAAATGCTAATTCTATTCCGTGCGTAAATATTTTTAATTGCTCCTTCTCGAATAATTCTATAGATGCGATGCTGCAGTTTGCGTAGATGCAACTAAATAGTGTTTATTTGATCCAATCAAATATATCGCGATTTGTTGAAGATGAAATGTAATTTTCTAGAGAACCTCACCTTCAAGAATGCTAGTCCTCAGAAATATCATCTTGGTCAGTAGATACTGTATCAAAACTTTCAAATCCCAATCCCTTTCCAGTCAATGTACTTGCTTAAAATGACGGTATCATATAAAGAAATCATCCGTAATTTAAATGTTTCCCCAGAAATTGATGACGTACATATTTGCAGAGGTAGCAGAGTTCGCTCTATCTAATTTCGTTTTTTTTATTTTGGCTAGTTTTAGTTCTAACAAATTCGAGCTTTGCATAATGAAATTTAAGACTTTGAAAATTATTGCTTCTTTTATAGTTCATACAAAATGTATAATTCGTAAAGAGAAAGTTTGGTAAATATTATCCAGGGTGTCCCAAAAAGGTGTGCTTGTGACTGTTGATAACTCACTTGTAATGAAGTCTTTCGAGAAGCTTTAGGTACCTTTTTGTAGAGCTGGTTTCAACTTAGATTCAAGGTATTCTTACTAGATTCGAGGAGCGAACTAAGGATTCTATTTTCAATACTTAGCACGGTAGGAACTTGCAGCACATAGCGCCACTGTGAAAAAGGCCACTTGGAAAAAAATTTCCAAAAAAATCTGAAAAATGTGTAACAAGGTTTTCATGAATGTTGGTTTCAGCACACAGATTTCTGGCTTCCGTAGAGCTTTTTGAATGGCCTGATCAGATTTTTGACAAATAGCAGAAATTGGGTAAACTAACCTTGGTGGGAGCTTTCAGATTCTTTGATTATGTTTTAGGACTGATATGACCCTTAATTACTCGAAACTCTCTTCGAGGTTCCTACCGTAATCCTACAGTAAGAGCATTCGGTGCCCCGGCTCCATGCCGCATATCTAAGTTGAAGCCAGCTCTACAAAATGGTATCTAAAGCTTCTTGAAAAACTTCACTACAAAAGAGTTATCAACAATCGAACAATGGGCACATCTTTTTGGGACATTTTGTATACTAAAATCGATAAAGTGCACTAGAACGTGTTATCAAAGAATTCTAAAATGAAGTTTCAGAGATTTTTGATGCAAGAGATTTATGGACTAACGTATTCTTTCGCAGATTGTTTGAATCAACGCAAAATCGATTATTTGAAACCAATAATCCTTTCCAATCCAGGGATGTCATGAAGACGCGTTTCTTCACGGCTTCTGCTGCGATTCTCGTCCTTGTGTACAGGAACAATGTTCTGGACTTTCTGCATGAGATAGAGGACACATTTCTTCCTTTAGGTTGTTACTGAGAATACTTTATTCGAAGATAAATGTTTCTACTTACATTTAGATCCAATCAACTACGACTTCCTCTTCGATCTAGAGGAAACAGAAAGCGGATTGATCCCAAAAGGCACCAATTGTAAGTCGCAATAATTTTTAATAAAATAAGTCCATCAAACACTTTTTTTAGCAGAGTACTCAAATTGTTCGAGGCGACCATTAGTCGGGAACGAAACGCTTGCTAAGGGATGGAGCAAAGTAGTATACGCATTGGATACAAGTGCAGTTGTCAAGTTTCCGAATCTTGAAGGGAGAACATATCATAATTGCTTTCATGCTAATTTTGGGAAAGAGGACTGGGTAAGTGAATATCGCCAGTTTTTACATCTAAGGTTGATTTAATTTTTTCGAGGAAATCCGTTGTCGTCTACAGTTGTTGCGTGGATTTGTTAACGAGATCAAGATGCTTCTTCGATTGCAAAATGACCCAAATGTTGTGAAAGTAAGTTGGCTTAGAAAAGTGGTAGATGTATATAAGCTATATAAGCGCAATATATGGTCACAATTTAGCGTATTGCCACTTTTGCTGCAAAATTTCCGGCGAAAGTTCCTTGACGTTTGTGAAAAACGGAAACTTTTATTTTCTTATGTAGATTAGAACACAAGTTTTGAACCAAAAATCCTAAAAAATTTGCTCGAAAGCGCCTAGATTGTTTAAATCTACACTATATCCACAATACATGATGTATGACTGATTTATATATTAGGGTGTCTCATAATTTTTTTACTGTTTTTACCCTAAACATTAGTATTTCTCGAGAACTGATGTGAGGCACCTACAAAGTATACAAATACATGATTGTAACTCTGTGTGTATAGGCGATAGATCACATGCATGGGAGAAGCTGAGGACGTCTAGGGGCGGAGTTCGCCTTTTTACATCACTCATTTTTTCTTTATTTCTAGCCATGGAAAAAATTCGGGAAGTGTACAATTGAATACGCGATGTACCAAGCATATGCTAGGATAAATGGGGAATTTTTTAGACGGAGATACGATTTTTGACAGAAAAGTTCGCTTTCGACTACTAACAAATTTCAGCCCAAAATTTCACGCGGGATACGATTTGGGTAGACTTTTGATAGCCATCTTGTAGAGCTTGCTTTGCCCTGTCGAATGAGTACTCAAGCCAGACATCAGATGAAGGAAAGATGCAAAAATACGGCAGTTGTAGAATTTGGTAAAATAATTATGAGACATTTAATAAATTAGAGATTTTTCAAACACATCCAAAACATCGGAAAGTATGAAGGCCTCTTTGTAGAACCATCTAGCAACATTTTCTGGCGTAAAAAATAGTGAATAAAATCAAAACAAGACATTGATCTTAGAAATTGTAAATTTTTTTCAAAGATTTGATAGATTTATGTTCTGTCCTAGTATTTTCAAATGGCAAAGACCTTCACACGAAGCTTGAACTCTTCACACGAAGCTTTAACTTTGCAAAAATCTAATCACAGTATCAATGTTAGTTGACGATCGATCATGAGGTAAACAGTTATTTTTCAGATAATCTCCTTTTGTATCCCCAACCATCCTTTGGAAAACCTCGAAAATGTAAATATTGTGACTGAGAGAGGTACACCACTGGATGTTCTGCACCTATTGCAATTGGATAGTATGCAAAGGGTACACCTCTTCCAAGAACTGCTGAGATTCTTTGCAGACAACCCAGCGTTGAGGCTGCACGACTTCAGAAGACAGCAAGTTAGTTGTTCAAATTTTTTTTTGGGGGGGGGGGGGGGAAGGCAGACTGTCACTTGCCTCCTTCATGGAATACTACAGATCAAGCCTCAGTACGAAAATTTAGCCATCCATACCCATTTTAACTATCTACAACTCATGTTTGGAGGCAGTGTCCGGGCAAAAACTCTATTGTTAGAAATTCACTTACCGGGGTTATCCGCAACGCTAAACCCGAAATCGAGATCAAAAGGTCGAAAGCGATTAGAACATGCGTTTTCCAAACCCTTACAATTTGAAATTCGACTTCCCCGCCAAGGCTGGGACGCAGAGTCTCTGTCGGACCTACGATTTTGACTGTGGCGACATGCGTATTCTGTCGCATAGCAGGAATTCGGACAGGTCGGAGGACCTCCCTCCAAGGCATAAGTTACCCCACTTCCCGATCGTTTTTCTGCTTTAGGTCGAACGTTACAACCTTTTACTTGCCGATGCTGTGTCTGAGGGGGCCACTTTCGCATGGCGCTGAAACGCCAAAACCTCCACCTTGACCGGACACTGCCTTTCAAGAGTTTTGATGATCTCGATCCTTCCTCTCTCATCTACTGAGCTTACCCCATCCAATTCCTCGCCAACGAGACGTGGGTGCTTTAAAACAAACGCGGTAATGATGCTTATTTCAGATTGTGATGGTCGGCGGACAACCAAAGATTGTTGACTTTGACGAGGCTTACGTTGGAGTGACAGACACTTATTCTGAAAAGTGTAAGTCTTGCTTGTCCAGGCTAAATGCGAGTAGCTTGGCCAAGTATGCTATCTACAAGCTTTTAGATTTCGTGGAGGTTAAGAACAAGCTTGCTTCTGATCTACTTATTCAGCCACAAGATTCGGCTTAAGTGGTGAATGACGTTGAGCCCAATATGTCAACAATTCAAGCCTTCTAGCTGTTTGCATTATACGAGTAGAAAGTGTTCTCTTTGACCGATTCGCATTATAAACAGATTTATTGATATGGGATCTGATTTCTTTCACATGAAAAAAATTTCAAAAAAAAAAACTTCAAGAGGTCTATTTGAGATCAATGTACATGTAAAGAACAACCTACGTAGTAATAACAACGAAAACATAGAGATGAAGTTGTTACTGAACAAAATAACGCTCACCGGACACAGCTCCAAGTCATGCACCAATACCGAAGGATATAGAAACTGAGGAGGTAGTCAATATATTCTGATATTATTCCTGTGCTTCATAGTCTCTTCGAACGCTGAAATACTTCTCTCGGTTCTCTTCGAGAAATGAGACGAAATCAGATGACATCACTTTCAGAGCCTGAAATTCCCATCACTTTGAATAAAGTTAAGGTATGGTATAACCCTTAGACGTACCAAGATATTCCCAGAATCCGCGGGTAAATTTGCCAATTTCGCGGCAAAGCAATCAAATAATCTCAAAAGATGCGGTAATCCATAAACAGAAGTAAGCCTGACAGGAACACTATCATCTGGTAACAATGTTGAACCTGAAAAATAATTTTCTATGAAATCACACCGGTTACTCCCCAGCAAACACTCACCAAAATAAGGGCGCCTGCGCGATCCGTCATCTCCATTGAGATTTGTAAGCCGGAGACGTAAAAGCTCAGACTGGTATTGGTCTCTCTCAGGCTGGTACAGAAGCAAATTTCTGTAGAGTCAGACTTTGAGTATGAACACTCGACGTTGCTTATATTGATTGAATAAACGACATTTGAATGTTCAAAGATCACGTGAAGGCTATCGAAAAATGAAACTCACCCGAGAATCATGTTGAAGTAATCAGTAATCATTTGGCAGGATCGTATGAGTGCAGTCACACGACTAGAGCTGATTTCGTCCCCATGGGACACTGTTAGCTTGTCTCCAGCCCATTCAAGTTCCATGTCGAAAGTAGAGAGAAACTGCATTAAGTACTTGTTCCATGGGAAACCCTACCACCCAAAACGCCCGTAGATTATACCTCGTGGAGGATTACATCGATAGGATATACAGCAGGTAGTTTGGCCAAAAGGCGTCGCTGCAAAACAGCATCCTGATCTTTCTTGAGTATCTCACGAAGTGATTTTGGCAGATTTGCGTAGTGCTGCAACGAAATTCAAAGTAAGTAAAAAGCATTAAGGCATAAATATTACGGTAACTCACAAATTCCACAGATTTGGCTTCTTCTGATAAACTCGAAACGGTAAGTTTGGGAGCCCTGACTACACATCTTGCATATTTGTTACGAGAAAAACATCATGTTACACTTACCTACACGGCGAGGAGCCACAACAGGACTGGTGGAAGCAACACTTTCACTTGATACTATATCCTAGAGTAAGACTCGATATGGACGTACTTTTTCATCGAACGAAACGTAAAAGTCAGAAAGATGTAAAAGTATTAATACGATCCAACATAATTATTATATGCTAACAAAATAAGCTACTTACAGCGTTCGCTTTGGAAGATTTCCGTTTCTTTTCAATTTTCGCGCTCTCTAGTTCAGCCTAAAAGTGCTTTTAATGCGAAACAATAGATTAGCAAGCTAGAACAGATAAACCGTACATAAATAGATCAAAATTCCTGTTGCATGCATTGTACTAATGTTTAGGTGATACGAGTAAAGGCCATGAATCCTCTAGAAGCAAAGGCAAATAGTTACCTTGGCTCTCGCGACATTCTCATCTGTATAAGGGAGGAACAACTGATCAGTCATGCTTTCTCTAATGGCAACATCATGTCTTTTGTGCCAACCCTAGAAAGGAAATAGCAGAAGTGCTCTACGCTATAGACTCCAAAAAAAGTATTCAAACGATGCAACCGACCTGATAATGTACTGTGAAAATCCGTTCCCCATCTTGGACAGCGACGCTTATGATTTTTCCTTCGTAATAAATACCCTTATAGTTGCAAAGAATTCTGTCGTTCAAATCATAAGACGGTTTCTGTGGCATCTGCAATTCTGAACGTGCAATGCTTTATGAGTTGAACAAACATCCACTTGCAGAGTTATAGCAAGAAGAAACAAAAAACAAAACAATGCACAGAAGAAGGGAAGTCAAACATGCAGTAGCGAGCGTCAACAATGCGTTTACACGACGCACGCAGCACGCGCAACTTAACGCCTAATATTTGAAAATCTGTTTTCCAAATGACTCAGAAAACTCCAAATAATAGATACATAACCTAGAGTTTCTGCATGATTTTTGAATTTAAACTTTAATTTTTGCCTGTCAGCCGTGTTTCATATATCCCCTCCCAATTGTTGCTATATATCCCTGCAATCCCTAGCAAAAGAAAGAGCATTCTGTAAAGAATTATAATTGCTAACAAATATAAAAAAGGAGCAATTTTATATGAAACACTTTGTTTGCGTCTATGGCCTGCGGCACGCATGGCTATAATCAACTCATCTCATATGACCACAGGGTCATTCCAGATGTACAGTTTGACCGACGTCCATGGACTGAAAAATAAGGTGCTCCAAACAAACAGAGTGTAAACCTTGGATGAGATGCGGAAGGCGACAATTCCCAAACGTTGTGCCTTCCAGAACTCTTCGTTGTTGAAGTGACACGGCGCCAAGGTAGGGAGTGGGGGGGGGGGGAGGATGGGACTGTTGTACAAGGGATCGGTCATACTATTGCGGCGATTCCTGCAGTTCCTGCAATTCCTGTGATTCCTGCGGGTCCCGTAAACTGTGTATATTGAGAAAAAAACAATGTATACTGAAATCCTCAAAGTGCTCCGTAGTCCGGTACATCGGAAGTCGAGGAATCACAGGAATTGCTGGAATTACGGGAATTGCAGGAGTCACCAAGAGTCCATTGCATACCGGCTATTTTGCATTTCGGTTGTGATGGCTAGTCACGATTAGTCATTTCGGAAAAAAATTACAGCCGAAATGCAGGAATCGGCATGCAATGAACTCGTTACTGGCCTTTCGGGAAAATCGTGAGGCGATGAAATCGCGTGATGTATGCCCGGCCCTTAACCTTCTACTATCTAGATATGTTGCCGGCCGCATTAATATGAATACGCGAACCAGGATGGGCTAAGGGAAACCACACTTTGCTTTTCTGGTAAGTACTTATCTTCAGTTCCTTGTGTGGATCCTTCTCTTAAATATTGGTAAGAATAAAGATATACAGGGTGTCCCAAAAAAATGTATCGAACGTTTGATCGTTGGTGTCTCTCTTCCCAAGAAGTCTTTTGCCTTGCTTCAAGTACCGTTTTGTAGAGCTGGCAGTGCCCGATATGTCATTTTAACATGAAGGCTGGACTTTACAAACATCTCGCTCGAGTTCATGGCTTTACCAAAGAGCAAATTGACATCAGCAAGACTGAGAAAAGAAGAGAGAAGTTAGCAGCCACAGGGAAACCCATATTCATTTGCGAAGTATGTGGCGCGCAGTATACGAATGAAGTCATCTTCCAAAGACAGCAACGAGCAAAGCACCCTGATGACTATACATTGAAAGCAATAAGATGTCTAGTTTGTGATGACGAAGCAATTGTGATTATCTCTTCAACAAACTTCCTATCGATTATCAAGACTTTGAATATTTTGAGCAGCCACAAACGGACGATCTGCACATATATTTTAGCAAAAAGTCGTTGAGGTAAGATTGCAAATATCAACTAGAGTTGAGAAAAATGTCAAAATGGAAATGAAATTTAGTTGGCTTGAAAGCACGGATTGCTTGCATTAATTGGAGATGGAGTGCAATTGAATCCAGTTAGAATTCCAAAAATAGAATGGATGAAGGCCAACTTTACGTCGTGCTCGCGGCAGTCCAAGGAGGCATAGAGTTGAGCTTTTTGACATGAAAAAATTGTATTTAATATCTTTAGGTGCCGTTATTACTCTACGCTGTCACCGATTCAAGACCATCGCAACTTACAAAATATAATGGTATTCGAAAGCCTTCGGGAAGTTCTGGGAGAATACAGAAAAAGACTTGTAGTTGATCTCGAAAAGGTGCTTAATGATTAACAGTCCAAATAAAATTATCTGTAGGCAGCCATTCCAGCAGCAAGGGAGACGCTGAAGCGAATGTTGCGCTTTTCACTTAGCGCAGGCGTGGAATAGGGCTGTTGTTAATTTGGGACTAAGAAAGTTTGTGAGGGGACCTAAAGCAGTTTTGGAGGTAAAAAATTGGTGGGAGATTTCGAAGGGGATTATTTTTGCTGGAAGAACACCCTACGTTAATCGGTGACCGGATCCCACAGTAACGGAATCGAGGCAAATACGGTGTTGGTACTCGTCCGTTACCTCATGGCGGTAGGCGTGAAGGCTGAGATATTTTGATCATCTGCCTGTCCGCGATCAAAAGTTCTTATGCGAGTCCACATTACAGCCAAGTGGCGTCACAGTGGGCACGGTAGACAGCGCACAAGGCTCGGAACGCTCAGTGGTCATTCTTTGCACAACCAGAACACAAATGAAAACAAGGACCATAAGGACGTTCTTCTCGGATAAAAAAAGGCTGAACGTGGCATTGCCCCGTGGTAAGGACGGCCTCTTCATCATTGCTCCATTACCTTGCAGGATGTTGACACATAGTCCGCCATGGTCCATTGGTGGCGCGAGACCGGCGTCATCAAAGATCTAAACTTCTTCGATAACCAAATGCGACTGATGCTGCGATACTGAGTCCGAGGACGGACTCTTGTTAGAGGAACGATCGCAGAAGCATTTCGCAGCTAAATAATCATTCCAGTTTATGTTGACATCAAATCTCTGATTTCAGCAAATTGTGTGGAATGCTTTCAAAACGAATTAATCCCCCGTTTGAAGAACTGTTGGATTGCTTACACTCTAATAACTCACTAGCACTAGGAATTTTGAGACATGTCCAAGAGGTTAGAATTTGTGATTATTGAACTATTTCATATCACTAATAATTTGTAAATCAGAATGCCCGTGCTTCGAGAGTTCTCCGCAAGAAAGACGAGGGCGTCATGATAAGATAAACAACGCGATAGAAGAGTTTAAAGAAATGCTTCGTGCAAATGATGTTTAAAAAACGGATGTTATTAAGAATCATTGGAGGAAGATGTCCCAATTTGTTACAGAGAATAGTATATAGATGAAAATAAAATTTCTTCAGAAAGAAATGAGTAAAAAAATACATAGATATACAATTGAGCTCCTAACTCATAGGAAAAAAACGGATTGCGACAATTTTTTCCGTCGCGACATATTTTTCTTCGCAAAACCGTCGCAATGCTATAACTTTTTTAAAACTAGTTTTCAAAAGAAACTGAGACCATCATTGGATTGCTGAGAACCTAGCGATTCAGAATAACTGTTGAAATTTTGAAAATGCTTTTATTTGATCTATCGCGGCGTATTTGTCGCGACAAAACCGTCGCACCGAATTAAGTTGCTTGAATATAAGTTTCATGGAGTGAAAAGTAGATTTTTGGACTCCTGGCAGAATTCTGACTTAGAAGATGCGTCAAAAAATCAAAAAACTCTTGTACGAAGCATTTAGTGATTATTTGAAATATTTTCATCAAATTTAGGTCAAATTTACGAAAAATTTGAAGAAATCGCAAAATTTATATCAGAAATCGACAGCAATGAGCATTGCGATGTTTCATTGATAATTTCGGATCACCAACTATGATGCAGGCTGATTTGGCCTCTCAAGAACGACCTAGCCTGCAGACGCGAACTGCCGATTTCAAGGCTTCATAATTTTCAAATTCATGCAGCCTTGTTCAAATAACTTCACTATCAGTAGAGTACAAGGACTCTTTCAACAATTCAAGGTGAGTCTAGTCTATTATATGGAATGCCTTCCAAGATACATGTACTTAAACTGAGGTGCGCATGCATCGCTGTCATTATGGTGCCACATTATCGAGACCGTATTGCAGGCAGTCGGTCAGTAAAAGAGTCGAAACTTTATCCGCATCTGTAATAGTGCTTGCTATTTGAGAATTTCACCTTTGAAAATGTAATTTGCAAACAAGAAGTGTCTGATGGTTCCGGGAAAAGTGCAAATGTCAACGATAATTTCACGAAATTTTCACGAATTTCATGTTGCCTTAGACTTCATAACTTCCACATATTCCGAATCTACGCAAAAAATGCTTCTAGAAAATGTATAAATCACACACCCTTGCATCACCGAAAGAGGCTGCATTTTCACCTCTTTTCCTATTATGATTGCCAGATCTGACTGGGTGCACTTGCACCCAGATTTGGCATAATCGCATCTAGAGGCGGATTTCGTTATTTTGTTTACTCTACAATTTCCGTTTTCATGATACTTGGTAAGTTGCTTTTCTTGGTTTATCTATTTTGCTAGACTGAAGTTGAGTTTAATTTCAAAAATTTTAAAAATTATTTGAAATGCTCAAACGTCAAAAATTTCGATATATTGTGAATTAACTTTACGAGCTGTCAGTCACAAGGGCAAAGCATCGCCCGCAGCATGGAACTTCGCACCCCAAATTATGGCATGGGCGTGACCGTGCCCAAAGCAATACAGCCGACGCTTGTAATTACGAGATCAGGTCGCAATGATAGCATAAATACCTTCAAGCTGAACTTGTATCATACATCATCATGTTCGCAGTTGTCTATTATATTCTGAGCAAGACTACCGAAGTGATTCCGAGATCGAGGTTGCCTCCAGACACGCAATGCAATACCATCTTATGGATAAGATGGCGAGGAAGGCGATACAAGGGAAAGGTAAGTGGTTTAAGTTTCATAGAATCTCATTTGAAAGATCGTATTTTCTTTGTCTAAAATTTTTCTGATAATTTTTTCTACACTCTAGACAGATTTGATGAAAATCAACTAGATATTTTTCATGTATCTTGAGCGAAATTTGATTTGGAAATCTTAATTTCCTTGTCGAAATTTCAAATTTTGTGACTTCGAATTGCTTTTTTGGCAATTTTTGCTATATTCTAGAGAAATCGGAAAAATTAATCAAATATTACCGTTTCAATTATCTTGCGCGAAATTTCATTTGAAAATCTGAATTTCTTTGTCGAAATTTCAAATTTTGTGACTTTGACGACCTTCGAATTGCTTTTTTGGAAATTGCTATATTCTGTACAGATTGAGGAAAAAACAATCAAGTATTACTGTTTCAAGTATCTTGAGCGGAAAATTTGATTTGGAAATCTTAATTTCCTTGTTGAAATTTCAAATTTTGTGACTTTGACGACCTTCAAATTGCTTTTTTGCGTTTTTTGCCATATTCTAGAGAAATCGAAAAAATTAATCAAATATTACCGTTTCAATTATCTTTCGCGAAATTTCATTTGAAAATCTGAATTTCTTTGTCAAGGAAGATCGTCAAGTCAAGGAAGCTTTAAATAGCCGTGTAAGGCGGCTGAGAAAAACGTTGCGGGATCGAAATTCACAACCTTCTCAATCTGGCCGGGGACCTGGGGTAGGAACGGGTTCTGAAAATTGCCCACCGGGCAGAATGTATACGGACGCTTATTTTTTCGATGAGGAGTGATTATTTTGTTATTACTGGAAGTTTTATAACAGTTTTTTATCAGAGAATATATCAGAGCCTTATCTAGAAAGCATATTTTGTTCTCTTGTGCCTTTTTGTTTACCGTTTTGCTAATATACATGCTTTTTAGAACATACGTTGTTAAAATTGCCGCTTTTCAAAATATGAGTTCAAAAAAATTTGCAGGAGTTTTTCAACGGAGTAGGACGTTATGCGTGTTCTTGTTTTGCAGATTTTTTTTGAATAATTTAAAAGGGAGTCTTGTAAATCGATAAAATATCGACACGTTTTGATCAAAATGCAGATGATTTTTCTTGCAGTAATTCGACAGTTGCAATTAGTCAAATTTTATTGATGGAAGACTTATACAGCTGGAGTGTAAGAATGGGATACAAACATTAAGCATATTTACTGAAAATGAGGAAAATGGATTACAAACAAAGGCAAAGTAATAAAGATTTTGTACAAGCTTAACAATATACGTACATATAAGACTCTTCTCTATTTTCCTTCCAAAATATTTCTGCCGCCTTGCTCAATCACTCTACCCATTCTTTTTCTGACACCTCTAATGTATTTCTTGCATGTGTCAGGAGTGATAGTCTTCCAGTAAGAAACGATTGCTGCCTTTAAGTCGTCGAGTTGGCGAATTCCTTGTTTCCTATAAAGAATACTTATATGAGCCATGAGCAAATTTGCATGCGAACGAGAAATTTTACCGTATGTGGTTTTTCATGTTACCCCAAACGAGCTCAATGGGATTTAAATCTGGCGATTCTGCTGGCCACTCCATAGTTGCTACATCCCAGTCTAGAAGTTTCCCCGAAGTATAGCGGCTTTTATGACATGGTGCATTATCTTGTACAAGCCTGGCATGACCTGAATGATGACCTTGATGACCCTGTTCCAGAAACCTAAATTGCTGTTTTAAACTGTAAACTGACCGTTGTGAACTTTTCGTACAAAAGGGATGTAACACTTCTCCAATATTCGGCAGTAAAGTTCACTGTTTATGCGAACGTTTCCTCCCAATATAGCTAGCTGAGTAGTTCCGCGTTCAGAAATTCCACCCCATATATGGAGTTTGGCCGGATGTTTCGCACGGTTGCGCAATCTTGCAAATTGGTCTCCTTTCTTCACAAAACAGAATCGTGTAGAGTTGTCGACTGAATGCGTATGAGAATGTTATGCCATGTTTGTCAGTACTCACTTTGAACTATGCTCTCATCGGTGAAAACGCAATCGGAGAAATTCGTCATATCAGCTAGCATGTAAGTGCAAAAGTCCATACGAGCAACTTTGTTTACATCTCTTATGGTGTGGCAGTATTTAGTGGTCGTCCTTCCAAGTCCTAACTGCTGTCTCAGTCTTTTGACATGAGAGAGGCTTACTAAGATCCCTCTCGTTTGCAGCCGTCTGCAGACATCGTATGCTGTTGAAGAGCTATTAAGACGATAGCAACGTTCTATCTCCGCTTTAATATCTTCCAGTAAGGCTGCAAAGGCTTTGCTATATAAGAGTACAACAACACCTTTTGAGACATGCAAAATGCTTATAGTGAATAAATTTAAAGACACAGAATAAAAGAAAAAATAGAAGAAAATTACAAACATGAAAGAGAACGCGGGTGGTACTCTTTTTGCTGGATTTCTGTGCTTTCAAAATCTTTCAGAAATCTCCAAACCATGTTGTACGTAAAAGAGGGATCAACCTAAAGCATCTATGTTTCTAAAGTATAATAATCAATGCACAGATATCGCAGCAACCCTTCCACACCTTCTGCACTTCGCGAACTACATGCCCCACTGATTTTCCTTCTTCTCTCAATCCGACAATGATGCTGATATGATCGTAGATCTTGTGTCCAGGATTATGAATTTTCATCTTAAAAAGAGTTTTTTCAAATGAGAAGAAAGAGCATTTATATCAGGAAAGGCAATTCGGATCAATAGCAAGCAAACATATAGAACATGTGTTTGCTCCACAATGTAAGGAATGCTCATATGAGGCCTCTTGTTGGGGTGACCGCACCTGTGGCGAGGATCCGCCTTTAGATGCGAGTATGCCTACGCCCATTTGGGTGCAAGCGCACCCAGTCAGATCTGGTAATCATCATAGAAAAAGAGGTAAAAATGCAGCCTCTTTCGGTGATGCAAGGGTGTGTGATTTATACATTTTCTAGAAGCATTTTTTGCGTAGATTCAGAATATGTGGAAGGAAATTCGTGAAAATTTCGTGAAATTATCGTTGACATTTGCACTTTTCCCGGAACCATCAGACACTTCTTGTTTGCAAATTACATTTTCAAAGGTGAAATTCTCAAATAGCAAGCACTATTACAGATGCGGATAAAGTTTCGACTCTTTTACTGACCGACTGCCTGCAATACGGTCTCGATAATGTGGCACCATAATGACAGCGATGCATGCGCACCTCAGTTTAAGTACATGTATCTTGGAAGGCATTCCATATAATAGACTAGACTCACCTTGAATTGTTGAAAGAGTCCTTGTACTCTACTGATAGTGAAGTTATTTGAACAAGGCTGCATGAATTTGAAAATTATGAAGCCTTGAAATCGGCAGTTCGCGTCTGCAGGCTAGGTCGTTCTTGAGAGGCCAAATCAGCCTGCATCATAGTTGGTGATCCGAAATTATCAATGAAACATCGCAATGCTCATTGCTGTCGATTTCTGATATAAATTTTGCGATTTCTTCAAATTTTTCGTAAATTTGACCTAAATTTGATGAAAATATTTCAAATAATCACTAAATGCTTCGTACAAGAGCTTTTTTGATTTTTTGACGCATCTTCTAAGTCAGAATTCTGCCAGGAGTCCAAAAATCTACTTTTCACTCCATGAAACTTATATTCAAGCAACTTAATTCGGTGCGACGGTTTTGTCGCGACAAATACGTCGCGATAGATCAAATAAAAGCATTTTCAAAATTTCAACAGTTATTCTGAATCGCTAGGTTCTCAGCAATCCAATGATGGTCTCAGTTTCTTTTGAAAACTAGTTTAAAAAAAGTTATAGCATTGCGACGGTTTTGCGAAGAAAAATATGTCGCGACGGAAAGAATTGTCGCAATCCGTTTTTTTCCCATGAGTTAGGAGCTCAATTGTAGTCGTCTTTCCCCCACTAGACACCTACTCAGACAATCGCCGTGGGCAGGCGGGCACCGGAAAAATAGATTGCTGATCTCTCGCACCCCGCTCGTGGATTTTTTGGAAAGCAATCAGAACTTTTCGGAAGACCGCTTGCTGAGTTCTCGATTCCTCAGAGATTCGGCAATATATCTGCAAAAGGTAAGAGCGAAAAAAATTCAACAGGCGGTCTTTCAAAAATCCGCTGACTCAGCAAGCGGTCGTCCGAAAAGTCCTGATTGCTTTGCAAAAAATCCGCGAGCGGGGTGCGAGAAATCAGCAATCTACAAGGTGTCCCAAAAAATGTATCGAACGTTTGATCTTTAATATCTCTCTTCTAATGAAGTCTCTAACCTTGCTTCAGGTACCAATCTGTAGAGCTGGCTTCAACTTAGATTTGCATTATAGAACGAATCACTCACCTCTCTTCGTTACTGTAGGATTACGGTAGAAACTTCAAAGAGGGTTTGAAGTAATGAAAGGCCATATTTTGCCTCAGAAAAGGAACAAAACAGCGTGTAAACTTTTACACTAGGCTAATTAGAGTTGCTGATTATAACTGTAAAGTTCCCAACTTATTATGATGCTTCATTGAAGAGTTATGCCAGGTAAGAGGTAACGGCCATTTTTTCAATGTTCTTAAAAAGTGCGATTACACCGTTTAGAAAGCTTCGTAATTTTTTGAATAGTTGAGTATTGAACTCAGCGTCCATAAAAACCCTATTACACATGTTTTCACATTTTTTTTGAAAAATTTTGAAACGGCAGCTTTTTCCACATTGACACCATATGTTTCAAGTTTCTACCGTAATCGTACAGTAATGAAGAGAGATGGATTATTCGTTTTATAACGCAAATCTAAGTTGAAGCCAGCTCTACAAAACGGTACCTAAAGCAAGGCAAAAGACTCCTTGGGAAGAGGGATATTAACGATCAAACGTTCGATACATTTTTTTGGGACACCCTGTATTTTTCCGGTGCCCGCCTGCCCCCAGCGATTGTCTAAGTAGTGGACGAATTCGAATTTGAATTAGGGCATGCCGGCCGCGGCTGAGCGCTGCACCGTCAAATGCATTTCAAGCTAATGCAGTTTTCTTTTGTGTTTTATTGTCTTTGCATTGTGATTTTTTTGTTTTAATGACGATTGTAATCAGAATTGAAAAGTTTTTTGTTGCTTAGCGATGTTTCGTATTACTATGCTCTTTCTTTACTCTGTTCTCATGAAAGCTTGGAAAAACGACTCACATGGAGAATTTTCGACATGAAGTGTTCAATGAAGCAACACTTCAAGACTTGCCGAGAAAAATTTCGCAATTTTTCAAACTTAGTCGTTTTTTCAAGCTCAACTTGGAATCCTAGTCAAAACAACGAGCATAGCAGTACGATCTATGGCTCAGATAAAAGCAACAATTTCAGTACGAATAGAGAAAATTGTCAACATTCAAAACTTAAGTTGAAACGTCGCGAAAACACAAAAAAAATTGTTTGAGATTGAAGTGAAAGCTGCAGGTGCCGCGCTCTGCCGCAGCCGGAGTGCTCTAGTTCAGATTCGATTTCGTCTACTGGGTGTCTACTGGGGGGAGGACGACTATATATGTAAATGAGGGAAATGGCCTTCTTGGCCTTCTGTTATCGACAGATTCACAGAGCATGCCTGTGGTTGTTATCACCATATCCGAAACAAGTTTGAAATTCAAAAATAGAAAAATTTCTAGATTTCAAGCGGAACCATAAGTTTTTTCGGAAATGTCAGAAAACCCTAATTGTCAAATTTGCCAAGTTCACAGAGAGTTTACAGAAAAAATTATGATTTCAAAGAGAAAAATATTCAAAGATTCAAGCGACACCCAGAAAACCCTTAAATAGAATTTTTGAGATTTTTATTGAAAAATTTGTAAGAACAAGTTTAAATTCAGAAAAGAAAAAATTCTAGCTTTCAAGCAAACCGATTATCATATTCGGAAACAGCGCGATAGAACACCAGTGAATACATGTTTTTTACCCTAACTGGACTGAATTAACTACTGAATCATGAATTCGAATTTCAAAGAAATTTCGGTTCCATAAGCTGTAGGATGACGACGGAGTTATCGTGTGCGGGATCAGCTCGTTTTTGGAGCAAATTGGGTGCAAATTAGGATTGCTGTTCATGACCTCTCACGAACTTCGCTGATTACGTAGCGGCAAGACTATCGGGGTACAGTCGAGTAGATTTTCTGCTTAATATAGTGTGCTTGCACAGCTTATGAAATGCGGTAAAATTTGCGCGTGAACAGCTCAGATAATCGCCGGGGGCAGGCGGTCCGCAAACTCGCGCTTTTCTGCAGGCGGTCAGCAGGATTTCGGGGCGTGGCCAAATCTTCAGCGGGCGGTATTTGCGTTTTCTGCAAGCGGGCATCAATACAAAATTTTCTGCAAGCGCTCGTCAAACAATCTCTTTCAGCGAGCGCTGGCCAAACTTTCAGCAGGCGCTCAGACTCTTTTTACGCAGTTTCGGGCGTACGCCGAGAAAAGATGAGACTCTATGTGGCAGAGGTGCCATCGATGGTTTTATTACCCAAGTTTGGGGTACTTTCTCTCAGCGGAAAGTACCTGAGGGTTGTGCGGTCCTTCAAAAAGGACCGTGCGGCTCTCAATAATTTTGCATGTTCTCGCGGAAAATCCGCGAGAATGCGGCCACTGTGCCGCAACCTATGTATAGAAAAACCGCGATAGATCTTCGAGCGTTCGTCTAAAATTTGGCCAGAATTATTCCAAATTTCTGCAAGCGGACCACAAAAAATCAGCGAACTATTTTTCCGGTGCCCGCTTGCTCAAAATTCGCATGGCCGCTTGCCCCCGGCGATTATCTGAGAGGTTGCTGCGCCGGCACTGCCGGCATTTGTGCGCGCAATTTTCCTGCGTCACAGTCGAAGCTAATTCCTCACGAGCAAATTTTACCGCATTTCACCTTCTGTGCAAACACACTATATTAAGCGGAAAATCTACTCGACTGTAAGTAAGTTCCCTCACCCTGTTAATTGGGTTTGTTTTCGCCGTATTTTCAAATGTACCTCAAAACAAAAAGGTTTTTTTTAAGAAGCCTCTCTTGCCCATAGAAACTTTAAAGTTGCTTTTTATAATGAATTCTTGGGT